ATCTGTATTAACATTCCCTATACCTAAATTTAATAATTTCCAAGTTATGGACTTTTTTTTTAACACTACAGAAAATTTATTACTACCCAAACCCGTTTTCACATAGTTTGCTATGGATATCAAAAATGTCAAAATTTTCTCTAAACAAACGTCAACAGTAAATTACTATTTGACAAATAGTGCCAAAATATGAAATATTATTATTGATAGGTTCTACCATGCGATCATTATTTAAAGCCAACAAGTGAGAAAAAAATATTTTTGTTTAATGAACGACATCATAATTTTGTTACACTCTCCATAAATACTAAATAAATTAATTAAATCTAAGTTTGAGTAGCTTTGACTTTTGTCACTGTTGACGTTTATTGAGAAACAATTTTGACATTTTTGATTTCCATAGCAAACTATACGAAAACGTAATAGATTTTCTTCCATTTAGTAAAATAAAAATTGGGGTATTTCATTTGGAAAAATTGAGTTATAGGTATTTGAATTATTACAAAAGTAACCTTAAAATTGTATGGTTTGTTAATTTTCTTTTCAAAATTTGAAAATACCAAAATAAAGATTTAAGCTTTCTCTTTCAAACGCCAAAAAAAAACGAATTCAAAATTTAAGAAAATAGCAGAGTTACCGATTTTTAAAGTAGAAGGTGCAGATTCAAATTTTTTTGAAAAACTCTAAATATTTCAAAAACGGCTAAATTTGGGTATAGGGAAAGCTGATGAAAGCTCTTAAAATAACCCGATTAATCCAAAAACACAGTAAAAAATATACCTTTCCATTTAAAATAAGAAATTTGAGACCGGCTTCCGGTATAAGCGGAAGTGCCGCCATCTTGAAAATATTTTCATTTAGGAGGACTTAATGCATTATGGCTATGTACCAATTTTCAAGCAAATATGATTATTCGAACTCCCAATACTTTAATGTGGGGTTTAGACGGAACACCCTGTATTTTGCTGACCCTTGGTATAAACTAGAACTACAAATAAATAAAAAATAAATTCTTTCTAAAAATTAAGAAAGTATATTGTCTTCAGTTTTTTGCTTAAATTGTTTTTGTGTTTGGCACTTCCAGCTAATTAAAAAAGTTAAATTAAATGTTAAAAGTTTTTAAACATCATAACTCCAAAAAGAATTTTTTGATGCAACATTTTTTTTTCGACTATTAAAGCACTCATTTGGATGTTAAAAAACGTATATTTTTGAACAAAGTATTTTTTTATTTTTCTTTATTAATAATCTTGTAGTTGTGGTAAAAACAACAAATATCGTAATCTAGGTCAGGACATAGTAGCATTTTACGTAAAAAAGCTTTTGCTTGGCATCAATTTTGTCCCACGATTGTAATGGTTTATAATCATTGGAACAATAGCGCAAATTGAGCGTTTGTGTATTTATAACTATTATTAGTAACGGATGGAAAACTTTTTATTCGAATCCGATGCAGCAGAGAGAATTCCGGGGAAATTGTCGAGTGAGAGAGAATTGAAATCAATCGCTGTCTAATCCGGTTAATGAGGAGCAATTGATTTGAATAATCATGGGTGTAGGTAATGGGGCTAACATGGAAACTGCATCTTCTCAGCTAAGAGAGAATTTTGTCTAAAAATGCAAGCTAATTCGCAAAACCTCAAACAATACAATGTCAATGCTGTAACATAAATCGCTTTCTCAATTTCAACGAGGTCAACATTTGAACTCTTTGAAACGACGAAAACTTATCGATACGCAACAGAGACACTTGCAGAACCGCGACCTTGAAGTTGATGCGTTTCACAAGTGCAACCGTTGCGTCACTTTAAAACACCACTTTTCTCTCTCGCAAATTATAAATCAATTAAACGACAAACGAAAGTCGATTACATAACGGAGAAACTTTCAAAAGACAAGCAGGTGCATAATGCACTGGCATCTAGGTCAACATAGAACTAGAGGTGCATTTTGCACGGATGAAATTATAAGTTTTCGTTAATTTCATTACAAATGCAATAACATTAATGCTACTTTGCAATAATGACATTAACAAGATTGTATTTAAATCGTCATAATTGTTGCACGCAAATTCACAACCACACGTGTTTCTATTTCTGTTTGAATGCATCGCAAGGTCGGTCTTATGAAATATTGAAAAGCGCTATTTATGGATTCATTTCAGTGCACGTTTTTCCAGGTAGTTTAGGGATGAATACTTAAATTTATTGATCGCGGTGGCTGGTCAGTAGAGGCAATTATGTGTAAAAGCTTCTAAAAATTGTAATTTTGGGTACTTTGACCCCACACAAAGTGGTAGACTTATCTTATTATCTTCTAAATGTTTTGCAAGGAATCGTTTTTTGATTTATTTTTTATTGTACAAGCTATAAGACGTCCTAGAACCTTTTTTCTTCTCTTTTTTATTAGTTTATTTTACTTTATCTTACAGCATCTGATTTTGTTCTATTTTGTCGTGTTTTTCACTAAATGCTGCAGAAATGAGGTGAAGGTGTATTTTGTCAAAATACTGTTGAATATCAGAATATCACATTTTTAATTTTTTTGGAAAAAATAATTCTTATTCTGGTCAAAGCAAATAAAAATTCTAACTTTATTTGTTGTTGTTATTTTTTCTTTTGCGAATCTACATTTTATAATATTTGTTTGATAATTTATTAATAGTGATTTATAAACACGTCTTTTACCTTAAAAATAACTAAAATCAACGTTGTTTTGCAACCTGCTGTTCTTGACGTATACCTATTTAGTAAATTTTAAATTTAAGCAATATTTTTAATTAATCTTGGTATAATTATTTCAATAATGTATACATTTAAAAGAAAGAAATTTAAGATCAAAACACGACAAATTAAGTGTTAAAAAAGAAGTTAACTTTGCTGGAATTTGATTGTATTTATTTTTATTTAAAGGTGTCGTGATTTTTTACATTTTGATACATTTTCTCGAAAATTTTTGGTATTGGGTAATGCATTGTTTTTCAAGTTACTATTTTTGAGACAATTCTTGAAATATAGAGCAATATACAGGGTGTTTTAGAACTCGCGCCACAAAGAAAAATTCTTAGTACTAAGTTAGATAAGATACCAGAAACATGGAAAAAATGTTTAAAAAATTCTGTCAAAAAATTTTAAAATTAATTTTTTGACATTTGACATTTTTCATGTTTAATTATTACTGTTAGTGATGATCTTGTATATGTTTTTTCATAATAATTATATTCAGTAATGGGACAAAAATTTTGTTAATAAAAGCCATAAAATAACGGTAATTATATAGTTACAATTTAGGAAAAAAACATGTAAAATTATTTTTCCAACAGAATTAGATAGTCAAAGTGCAAAATTTAAATTTCCATAATTTCGGAATTTTTATAGGTGATTTTTTTAACATTTTTGCTATTTTATCTTACATGGCATTTTTCTCTGGGGCGAGTTCTGAAACATCCTGTATGTATAAGATTCTGTGTTCTTATTACCAACAAATACTAAAAATTCTATAACAAAATAAAGATGTATTTTCAAATTTTGTTTTCTCTCAATGTTGTTGTAGAGCTTGTATTTTAAACTTTGCGAAAAAAATTGAATAACTTCGCAAACACCGTTTTAGGACATCAGCAAGGCAAATTGGAATATGGAAAAATTTATGTGGGTTGTAATTTGATTTAAAAAAGTTAGTACGGTCCTGGAATAACTTGAAAATAGTTTTAGTTGAACTGCTTCGGCAGCTATGTAACAACAAAAAAATTGTATTTTTAATAATAAAGTTAATATCTTCTGACACTGTTCTTGTATACGAGCAGGTAGTAGAAAAAAATATACAGAGTGTTCCATTTTTATTGTTACAAATTTAACCAGATGATAGAATATTCAATTTGATAAAAGTTTCCTATAAACATACAGGGTGCGCCAGAACTCGCGCCCCAGAGAAAATTTTCAAGTTACGTAAGACACCACAAACATGAAAAAATTTTGACATTTATTTTTTGACATTTGACATTTTTTTTTATATCTATTTAATGATACTAATGATTTTGTATATGTTTTTTTACAATTATTTAGTAAAGGGACAAAAATTTTGCCAATAAAAGCCACAAATAACATTGAACAGAGTTACAATTTAGGATACAGCTTCCTTGTTTCCTCTTTTAATAGCCTATAGCAAAAAAACTTGGAAAATTATTTTTTCAACAGAAATAAATAGAGTCAAAGTGCAAACTTTAAACCCTCATAACCTCCAAATTTTTTTAACATTTTTTCCATGTTCCTGGTTTCTCCTCTGGGGCGCGAGTTCTAGCGCACCCTGTATAACGAAAAATTTTATATAAGGGTGCTACATCCCCTGAAAGGGGTGCATTTTTTAATGGATTTTTTCTAATATTTCAGAAACCATCGTGGATAAAATTACAAAATTTGGTACAACTTTTATACACCCAAATGAATTCAAAGATAAAATGTCGAAATTTTTACTCAGGGGCGTCCTAAACAGGGGGGTTTAGGGTAAAAAGTACCCTAACTATTTTGGCGGTTTTTGCCACTTTCAGCCACAAAATTCTAAATTTCATAGTTTTTCACAAAAAAGAGGTCTCTTGCGTTTTTACCGTTTTTGAATAAAATCAGTTTACAATTTCTTTGTCTTACCGACCATAAAGAGGATAAAAATTAAAAATTAAATTTGTCCTAAAATTGAATATTCTATCACCTGTTTAAGTTTATAACAATTTATTTAGATAGTGTGAAGCTCAACGCATTGAGGAAGATTTTTAGTGAGATTTTATGTTTTATCAAAACACAGCAGCATATCATTTAAATACATTCTACGTTCGAACTTTATCTTTGGTATTATTTGCATCTGACATGTTTCATATTTGGATTCTTTTATCTCTTCTGCTTTTCAGCATTTCAGTTTAAAATTTCGGCTTGTGTGATTTTCCTCGCATTAATCTGCGCGCAATGTACAGTAGAATCATAACTAATGATTTTTCTTTTTTTATTTTTCAGAATGCCGTCAAGCTTCGACAAAATGCCGGCCCTGCGCTGGCTGCTTGTAACAGCAGGCTAACCCGGGACTTTTTTCCTCTCATAAGGTGAGCTTGCTTCCCTCAAACATATTTTATCTTAGCTCTTCCGCATACACACAATGTTAGATTAATTCGATGCGAACAAAGCCGCAACACGATTGATTAATAGACTCGGACGTGTTCAAACTGTAATCGTAAATTGAACCTTCGCGATTTCTATGAATTGAAGCCCATCGCACATTCCGTCCGACCTGTTTTCAAAAGACGCTATTATTGTAACCTCGGGAAGGTATTGTCAAGTCAAATGCAATGGAAATGGCCCCGTCATGTATACAGGTTATTACGGAAATCACTGCTCTTAACTACTATTATCACCAAATTTTAGCTTGGTCCAATGATGAATAGTTTGCCTGAATTGACAAACCATGATTGTTGATTAGTCTTTCTGAGGGCCTGATTTTTTAATTTCGATGTTTTTACTTTTTTATACCGAACTTCAGTTATATTTCCGACTAGCTTGCACCCGTGACTTTGTCCACCTAGACTTTCGATATAAACTTTTGTTAATTTCAAAGGTGGAATGTAAAGTTAGTTATTTTTTTCTTGATTCAACTCAAAACAACGCGGGAGCAGAGGGTCGATTTTTAAGAAAGTAATGAAAGCACGCTACACCCTCAAAGACAAAATTTTAGATTTTATGTTTATAATTTCGTTTAAATATTTGCACCCTATTTCATCCCATTATAGGTCGGTTTTTGAAAAGTGCCTGATTAGTGCACTTCACTCTCTAAGAATTATATTTTTCAAATATCATCTTCGTCAGGGAGTCGGTTTTTGGTACTTATTATTCTTGTTCAAAAGCAACCAGCAATACACCCTAGGCAGGGTCCAAACTCAGGCTTTACCTGCGTTCAGGGGTTGGGTTAGTAAGGGTAATAAATTGTAATAAAAGTAAAAGATCAGTTCGCTAATATTTTTATGCTTTGAATTTGAGGAAGTTGCTCCAGAAAAAAAAATCTAATCATAATTATTCCTATCTACTTGATAGGTTGTACATATTTACTAATTAGAAAGCTCACAGGTTCCATTTTCAATGGAAATTAAATTTTTATATGGGGTAACAAGACATACAATTCCATAAATTAAAATTTTTACAATCGGAAAAATTACAAACTTATGCAATTGTGGACATCAAAATATGTCAGTTCAAAAAATATCAACGTAAGCCACGCTTTAGTGTCATTATGATTGACGTTTGGATCTAAAACTTGAAAGATTTAGTTGAAATTTATTTTTGGCGTCAATTTCCTAATACATACAATAAAGCCAGCAGTTGCAGTACGTTTTTTATGTAGTTATTATTTTTTTATTTTGAATTCTTGTCATTTTTATTCAGCTGTCAGCATAAAAACTACAAAAATCAAAAAAAAAGTTGCACATAAAGTCAGTTTTACATTTTATGTCAACCGAATGACAAATTAAAGGTGTCTTTTTTGGTTTTTTGCTTATATCTCGGAAATTATCACTCCTATAGATTTTATCTTCTTATTGAAATTAAAGCTTACAAAATTTCCTACAAAAATAGTCCTTTGCATTTTTGTTGTAGGACAAACCGTAAGCGAGTTATAGGGCAGACAAACAACATCTTTTAAAAAAATGTGCTTTATCTGCATTTAAAACAGCATTAGTCTTGTAATTTAAAAAAAAACTGACAGTAAATTGATTTTACTGGGTCCAATATTTTATTAAAGGAAGTGGGAGTCACGAGGGTCTATAAACATTTTTATTTAGCTACAAAAATAAAAAAAAAAAGTTGCACATAAAGTCAGTTTTACATTTTATGTCAACCGAATGACAAATCGTCCAAAATTCCGTGTCCGTACATCTAAACATCAAATTTACAATGCACACTATAACATTCATATTCTTTGGAGGGGAATTTATGATTTTTTTTAGCTAGGTTTTTTTAGTTTAAAAGTGTCCTTGTTTTCCATTACAATTTTTTGCCATTGACCACATTTATGGCTACCACTAACTAACATTTATAGTTATGTCTTATAAAAAAAAGATTGTGATAGGCCGAATCATTTCTTATGAAGAACAACGATAAATTAAAAAATAAAAACGATCTCTTCAATATATTTTTCATAGTTGCCCCGCTAAAAATTATTTGTTTGAGAAATGGGACTTCTGGCGAGCATTTGTTTAAAAGTAATATTTTTGAAAATGGTCATATTAGGTACTCAATACCCAAAATATAGTTTTTCAGAACGGATAAGTCAATTTAGTTACTATCGTGGCGAAATTTGTTTAATTAATAATAAGTGTAAATTTGTTGTATAATAAATTATTTTGTCTGATTATTGTTGCTATTTATTAAAACTCTCATAGATAATAAATAATCTTAGATGCTCACAAGGCACACATTTTTTCGAAAAAAAAATGGTCAGGTCTACTAAACTCGGGAGATTCGATAGAAGTACAATTCCAACGAAATTAGCTTGTTTTCTTATTTCACGTCAAATGTTTCTGCTTCTAGTTTTCTAATAATAATAATAATAACTAAAAATTATTATGCTAATTACATGATAAAGATGACCATAATCCGTTATTTGCTTGGGTTGCTACAAGGGCAGGTATAGACTCTCGATCCTCCACAGAAGCGGCACTGACAACGCCTCTAGTGGTAAAAGCTATGAACTAGGAGGCATTTTTGGGTAAAATATATTTATTAATAATTTAAAAACAACAGTGTTTTACTACATGGTGTTTGTTGAATTTGTTAAGAATTAATATTTTGTAATAAATACCAAAACCCTAAAACGAATCTTTAGGTCTACCGTTAAATATCGTGACTTTTACATCAATTACAATATCTCAAAAACTAAACACTTTTTTTTTAAAAAATGCCAACGCATCGGCCTATAGAATATTCTTTTAAATTATCTTACAAGAACCGAAATTGATTACTTGAAAAATGACTGAGTAAAGTTGTTTTCAAGTTCACCATTTATGCATTTTTGTTATTTTTTTAAAAGCATTGAATTTTTTTAAAAAAATCTCAACGTATCGGCCTGTAGATTTAAAAAAACCTTTATTTTGATGTATAATACATGAAATTCTGTTGCAAATTAAGAGAGTAATCTTGTTCTCAATATACTAACGTCTCGAATCGTTGGTCGCGGACATCCTTAAACGTATACACCCTATTTCACCCCCTTAGAAACTGATTTTTAAAAATCTCGTCTTAGTGCAGCTTTACACAACCGCCAAAGAACATATCTTCCAAATTTTATTTTCTATCTTTGTTTAAGTGTTGACAACCCATATAAATATATTTTCAAAAAAACCTTCCTTAGTATTCCTCTACACCCTCCAAAGAATATGTTTTGTAAATTTCTTGTTTTTATCTTCGTTTAAATGTTTACACCCCGTTTCGCCCTTCTTAAAATTGATTTACAAAAAAATCCTTCTTTAGCGAACCTTTAGGAACGCATCTGCCAAATTTCATGTTTCTAGTTTGTGTGGTTTAGGCTGTGCGTTGTCTGTCAGTCAGTCACGGAACTCTTTTATATATACCAGGTGAATAAAAAGTATGGAACCAAACGTTTTTTGCTTAAACTATTTATTTGAAAAAACTAATTGGTGAGTGATAAAGTACTATAAAAATGTGATGATTTAAGAAGAATAAAATTTTTCGAAATTTCCTTTTGTTTTTGAGTTCTACAAAAAAATTATTTTTTTTAAATGGCACCCCACTATAAAATCATTTTTCTCATAAAAGCTATACTGTAAGGATTACAACTATCTGCTTTATATTTAATTTAAAAAAAAATTTTTTTTTACATAAATTGCAATTTTGACAAAGAAAATCCCATAACTCAAAAACAAAACAAAATTTCGTTCTGATAATACGATCACATTTTTTATATCACTTTAATTTATATTAATTATTATTTTCTGGAGGCAAATGATTAAAAATAAAACCGCTTGGTTCCATACTTTATATTCACCCTGTATATACAGGGTGTTCCGTTTTAATTGTTACAAATTTAAACAGGTGATAGCATATTCAATTCTAAGACAAAAGTTTCCTATAAACATGTATCAAAAAATGCTTGGTAAGGGAGCTATACCCCCTGGAAGGGGGCTAATATGGTTTTGTTAATATTTCAGAAACCATTTAAGATAAAGTTACAAAATTTGGTACAGATTATAAGCTTTATACACCTAAACGAATTCAAACATCAAATGTCGAAATTTTTAATCAAGGGCGTACGAAACTGGGGGAGTTAAACATTAAAAAAAATAATTACTATTAATTCAGTAGCCAAAAAGTGCACAGTTGCACAAGACATGGAAGAAATATCACTTAATAATCTCATTTGTGTTAAACTGAATCCATTATTCTTTATTTTTACAATAAAATAATTTGAATTTCAGTATTTATAACGACTTTTACAATCTCAACGGATAAGTGATCCGTGGTGGAATTACTATGGTTGCTATAGTATCAACAAACCTCTTCATTTTTAAATCTTTACAAATGCAAAACACTAAAAATTGTTACAGCTTTAAATTCTGTACTTTCTTCTTTGCAGAAGCAAGAAAAAATTTGTTCTAACCGTCTTATTTTTAAAACTACGCAAAATCGACTAATAAAAGTTTAGCTTCATAAAAATCTTCATCCAAAAATGCTAAGAAACATATGGTGTTTCATTTAAAAAAACACAAGTTTGTATTGTAACTTATTTTTGGGACACGCTGTATAGTTGAAAATAATTTTAGGCGATGGACTAGATTAGTATCAATCGATTTCCCATATACATAAAGGTCAATATTGGACTTTACCAACTCGCTTGGACACCCTGTACATATTTTGAATCTAAATTACAACTTTTTGTCTTTAATATTTTGTTTTTTTTTTTGATATTTTTACTACACGATTCATTGAGGATGTGACTAATTAAGTAATTACACAGTGATTTTATATAATTCAATTTATTTTAATTTTTTTATATGTTAATTAACAATAGTCTATAATTCTTTTTAAGGTGTAAATAAAA